ACCATTATACCCTGATTTCCCATTTTCAATGGGTTCAGGGTATAAAAATAAAAACAAATATTAATGTTAGACACTGCAGTGTCTATACTGCACTGTATACACTTTATGGGGTCTGCCACGCCATCTTCTGACTATTACATACATTTAAATAAAACTATTATATCCCTTATTTCCCATTTTCAATGAGCTCAGAGCATAAAAAGATCATATAGTTAACCAACAGACCGCTATTATGTGAAACTTTAATAAAAATTATTTTATAATATATAAACAAATTTGCAGAGCTCAAATAACTTACTGAGAACTCTTTCTTTATATAGTGTAGGTATTTATTACTATACTTACATCCTCGATAACAGGCTGAAACTTCATAAAGACAGCAAATAGTAAATCCGTTATTGTATTATAAGATCCTCGAAGTACATTACTTACACGCCTAATATAATTAGATATGTGACTTTCAAAAATTGATATAGCAACTGCACCCGTGAAGGTAAATTTTAACATTGGTGTATTGCAAATCTTTTCACAGGCTCGAGCAATATTTTTATTCGCCCGTTTATATATGTCCATCGTCTCTTGTAGTTTTGTCGTATGCTTAGCGCAATCTGCGATATACGCATCACTTAGATCCCCTCCATAACTTAATTTAAAAACTCCTGGAGCAATCTTTCGATCACAAGCTTGTATAAGAGATCGAAAAAACTTTCTCTCCTGTTCAGATAACGCTGCCAAAATATGATTATAATCTAAGCAAACTTGCAGTACACTGTTGTAAACAAATCTAAGGGTATCTTGTTTTTCAAAAATCTTTCGGACCGGCCCTAGGACCGTAAATCCAAGACGTGAAAAGTGCTGGGCTTGCTCGCAAATAGTTAAAATACTTGGGTCTACATTACACTCAAGAAGGCCCTTCTTTTTCTTACTTCGAGCAAGTAAAAATCGATCGAGTTTTTGATTTAACGCGGGGCTACAACAGGTCTTTTGCCATTCGTCATAAGACTTCCGCATTTCCTTATCAAACTCTTTTCTCAAATTTTCAAACATATTTAATGCAATTAAGGCTTCGGATACATTTGGTAACCATTCACATGAACTTAGTCGATTTCGAAGCCAAGTTAATCTTTCTATATTGATGCGGTAGCTAATAGCCCTAGAAGCATAGTATGGCACCCAAGTTTCATGTAATTTGCTACGATCCATTAGGCTGTGGGAAGTTGAGTCCATTTCATTACAAAATAATTGCCACACCTCTGTCACTTGCCGCAAATATGATTTTCTAATAGAACTTCGGTATGAATAGAAAAGCATCACATTAAGGGATTCTATAGCTTCTTCAACGTTGCACACATTTAGAAAAACATTCGACATAAGTCGTTGCACAGTCTCGTCCATGCTTCGAACAGTTCGCCGATATTTCAGAACTTCTTCATACCAATCATTTTTATGAACATTAAGTATTAACTCTTTTGCATCTGTATTTAAAGCTGTTAAGGTAGCAAGAAACTGGGTCTCAACTTGTTCAGTTGTTTTTTCAAATTCTGGTCCACTAGTACCTCCGAATTGGGGCTTTGGAATGCTTTCAGTCTCGTCCAAACGTCCAAATACAATCATAGACTCGCATATGTCGATCACATCATTTAATCGCTCCATAAAAGCATCAACGTGATTGAATATCATAGCATTATCTAAATTCCAACTTAAGTTACTATCAAATTTCCCATTTTCTTTTGCCATAAAGCTATATATACCTTTATAGGTAAGACAACAATTAAGAGATAAGTTACAAACCTTAATTCCAAATCTCGAACTGCCAGTAAGTATCTTATCCAAATTGATCATTTCAGTACAAAAACGTATTATTCTGTTACTTAAATCTCGAAAAAGACCTGTTATCAAGTCGCGTCTATTGTAATGTTCCGAATTTAGCCAAATAAAATGTATTAAATTAATTATCCTCGGCAATAATTGAGATAACACTATAGGGCTATCAGTAAGATTAATTTCGGCACATGGATCCATGAGAAGATGCAGAAATTGTATGTTTGACATAGCCCTTTCCATTTCGTAGCTTGACTCATAAATAAGTTCATCAATTTGTTTAATGTACACTGAATGGGAATTTCGTAGTATTTTGATGATACTCTGTACATCGACCTGTTCCAACTGGGTGTTTAAAGCCTGTAAAACTTCAACTAAGGAAAGCAGAAGCTAATAAATTAAGTCTTTAATTCGACAACATACTTACATCGGTATAACCAAAATTCATATTCATCTTCTAAAATAACGAAGTCATTGGGAACGTTCATTGTCTTATCGTTTAGAAGTGTTCGAATCTGTGTTGCCCAGAAAACTGAAATCGATTCAAGGTTCTTAACAAACTCGGGATCATATGAAATATTTTCCCTTGGAATTTGTCTAACAATATATGGAACATACAAAACCGTCATACCCGACATTTTAAAGTGCATTCCAGTTAAGTAAACGAGAAATTTGTCCAAAGCTTTGCAAAAACGCTGCTTAATATTGTCATCCCATTCTGTATGATTTCGAAATACAGGTGCGTACGCTAACTCCAAAACTCGAAGTAGGCAGCCATCTACATCGTTGTGAATAGTTCCAAAATTAACATAATCGTGAAATGAATCACAGGTAAAGATTTGATTTGGCGATCGCACAAAGTAACTTATATCGAGAATAGGAGCTACTGGAAATCCTAGACAGGCAGTTATCATATTGGAGTCGTAAAACACCGTTAGCATTGGTTTACTCGGCTTTAGTAACCAAATTCTTATTATGTTAAGCGTATTTTCACTCCAATCACTGTGATCAAGAGAGTATAAAGTAGTCATGCGTTGAACCATTTCTACTAAATTTTCCAATTCTTCCTCTGCGTACACGGTTGAAGACAAATATGTCCGTATTGACTCATTAGATTCTTGATTTCCAATGTCATGTTCTATTTTTAAAAATCTTATTCGAAAAAAGATTTCAATCTATGCTAAAGATGCTTACCGCCATTATGAAAGACATCAGGGGTAGCAAATTGAGTTTCATTTTCTTCGGTTGCACCGGAAGAGGCCATCTCTCTTTTTTATTTGATTTAATTTAAATCAACTACAGTTTACTAGTTGAATGATATTGAAAATAAAAGTCAGCCTACTTCGAACATAAGACATATATTCACATTTTATTTTTTACTCATTCACGAATTAAAAGTGTTTTTTGTTGCATTCCGAATTTTATTCCATGTCAGTTCGAGTGTCAGGTAAGAATGCTCTAGTCAAGACTGCGCGACTAGGAGATACCCTCCAATCTGATATTCTAATCATTCTGACCTTTTATGCATACACATACATACACATGCATCCGCTTACTAACGAACTCTGATAACTGCGCAGTAAGTAAGTGGCGATTGCGCTTGGGGTGCGTTGCAGTGCACTGCAGTGTGGGAAATATTATTAGAATAATTTCTTTTGTAGAAATACAGTATCCAAAATCTATAAATTACAAAATGTTTGTATATACCCAGTAAATCTGAAGTCTCCAGGTCTAATAGTATTGAAATAGGGCTGAAAACCCAAAATAAATTGTTCGATTATTCCCGATAACAAGTTATCGATAAAATATGATAAACTCTGATATGGTAAACACGAGTATGCATACAAAATTACAGCTCTCTAGCTCATATATCTTCTGAGATCTGTAGTGACCGAAAATAAATAACAATTCGAGTCATAGGTATAAACACAGAATAGT